GGGAGTCTTTCTAACAATTGGGTTCAGGTCACCAGGAGCTCTTTCTGCAGGGCAGGCCCAGAGCCGTTTGTAGGCTTGGTGGGTGTATCCATTTATTATAGGTCGCTAGTATTAGGTGCAGTATAGGTGGTGCTAGGGGGAGAGCCAGGAGGTGATTTAAGGGCGGCTATCTCTTCACTTAGAGTAAATACCACCTGGTTCTGTCGCGCCAGAGCTTCTTGCAGGGCGGTCATTTGCACCTGCATAGCACGGATAATCGTTTCCAGTTCTGTTGTCATGGCTGTTAAAGATAGTAGGTGCAATATAGTGTCACGAAACTGATAGAAGAGATCTGCTCAAGTGTCATGTGAAGTGAAATAATGAGATTTGTTGTCTGTCTACTTAGATCATGCGGTACAGGTGTAGTACTCAGGTCAAGACGTTGCACAAGAGAGAGAGTATCTAAGAGTGACTCATGCTTAAATACACAGAGGGAAAGGGTAAGGCTTATCTGCCTTGCCTAATTCAGGCTCAGTCCTCCGACATCGGATATATATTAGCTGAGCTATATTAGCCAATATTAAGTTATGTTGGCTAACATCGAGTTATGTTGGCTAGTGTTAGCCAACATCCGGTCTGGTAAGGCAACAGAATGGTGCCTATCACGTGTCATGGGGAAGACCCCGTGACAATCTCACCTATTCTATACAATGCAAAGCCTACTTATACTTATAATAGCAACAGCGACAGGGAACAGGCTGTTTAAGAAACTCAAAATTATTAACCTAGCACTACTCCCTCTATTGTGATGAACACTATTCGCAACAATAAAAATAATACGCAGCAGAGAAGAAGCCAAAATAACAACTAAGTTACTGGTCTTAGTTGAACCTGATTCAGTAATATTCATAGATGTCTCAGGAAAAGATAGGGAACTCGGCGCAGCAGCAATTACACTAGGACCTAAGCAAAATATTAAGCATAAGGTTTGCGCTGGTGTAGGCCCGAATACCAGCTAGAATATTTTTGCTGCTGAACTGATTGCAATATTCATCGTATTATATATGATCTGCAGGGACTACAGTTGGAATACAGCCACATAGAAGCCAATATGAAACCATTATACTATCCTAAGTGACTCTAAGGCGGCACTACAAGCAATAGCTAACCTACAGGCGCGGATAGCACAGCATATCTCTTAAAGGATTTGTTACAGCGTACCTCCCAGTACGGCTATGTAACATGTGTCACTAACACGTGACGCCAAGAAGCAGTCTCAGTCTTGGCATGTGAGACTATATGCAAGAGTCTCACCGTAAGCAACTGAGACTCTCATGCAAGAGTCTCAGGGTAAGCAGATGAGACTGGACACATGATGGATCAAGAACGTCTATAAATAAGAGGTCTGTCTCTTATCTTCGCTCATTGTAGTTTAACTGTCTAGCTTTGCCTAGTAGTTAGTTTGAATGCTTTTCTATACTTGAAGCTCATACTGCTCTAAGTTATAAAACTGAGTACTACCTTATTGTTGTTCCTCCTCAATAAGTCTTAGTTTCTCCTATATCCCTTTGCTCTAGGAAGCTCATCCCTTCCGAAGTAGCTTACATCAGTAAGGCTAGTCGGTATTGGGAAAGTATTCCTAACAGGATTAATATAGAAGCCGAGCGCCTTAGCAAGGGATGCAGCATAGACATACACCTTGCCTGGATCCCAGGGCATGAGGGCATACAGGGAAATGAGTTCGCCGACCAGGAAGCCAAGGAAGCTGTGGAAAGGCCACTAGAATTGTAAGGGGTGGATGTAAGCGTGATATCAAGATGGGGAGCAATAGGTTTAGATTTATGTCAAGACTGACGACTGAGGAAGTAAACTAAAAGGAATGCTGTGCGTAGCTTAAATACTACAGTCCCATAGAGCATATATGGCTCCCACAGAGCTTAAGTGCCACAGTCCCACAGAGCATGTGACTCACACAGAGGCTTAACGTATTTCACCACCAAGTCGCGCACACCACCAAGTCGCGCACCACATCATCGAAACTTATCATTAAACCACAACAACATGTCCAATCCAGTTCAGAATGAAGGAAAAATTTTATTAGCACTTCAGTCAATTAATTCTGCATCAAATCTATCAATTCGAGCAGCTGCACAGCTTTATAGCATTCCTGAAAGCACATTGCGCGATCGCGTTCACGGTCGCGTTGGACGCGTCGATTATCGACCAACCGGCCACAAACTCATAACAACAGAAGAGGAGACTCTAAGAGTATGGTTAATTAGTATAGCGGATCGAGGCTACTTATTGTCACCATCAAATCTGCGATCGGCAGCTAATCTATTACTACAGAAGTGAAATAGACCTGATATATATATTGGCAAAAACTGGCCTTTAAGATTTATTAACCGCCAACCAGAGCTCAAATCACAATATAATCGGAAATATGACTACCAGCGCGCTCTATGCGAAGATCCTGAGCTTATCCAACAATAGTTTACACTTGTCCGCAATACAATCATGAAATATAGTATCATCAAGGATGATATTTACAACTTTGATGAGACCGGATTTGCAATAGGCATTACAAGTACATCACAAGTGATAACTACATCTGATTGATGTACAAAGCCTAGTCTTATACAGCAAGGTGATCGAGAATGGGCTACAGTGATTGAGGCAGTCGGAGCCAGTGGCTATCATCTACCACCAATAGTGATTCTGAAAGGCAAGGTTCATATCCAGAATTGGTATGAATACAGTGAATTACCACCAGATTGGATAATTAGTCTCAGCCCAAAGGGTTGGACATCAAATGAGCTTGGTCTTCGATGGCTTACTGATATATTTGAACCATATACATAACCACAGACTGTTGGTGCATACCGCTTGCTTATCCTTGATAGGCATGAGTCTCATATAACACCTAAATTTGATTACTACTGTAAAGAACACTCTATCATTACATTATGTATGCCTCCATATTCATCACACTTGTTACAGCCCCTTAATGTAGGCTGTTTTACAGTCTTAAAGAGGGCATATGGTAATCAGGTCGCAAACCTGATGAGGCTTGGCATCTCTCACATCAACAAAGCGGAGTTTCTTACATGCTTGAAAACAGCTCGATCAGAGGCATTTTCACTTAGTAATATCTATAGTGGATTTGCTGCTACTGGAATTGTCCCATTCAACCCAGAACAAGTTCTATCAACAATCTCGAGGCCACTTACACCACCCTAACCTCTACCAACAGATGATCAGCAATTTACACCCAAAACTCCTCACAATCTTACTCAGCTATATCAGCATGTAGGGGCGATACAAGATCTACTTAGGAAACTATCATATAGTCCACCTACACTAACTAATCAGGCAATACAACAGCTGGTGAAAGGCTGTGAGCTATCTATGCAAGGCGCAGTCCTACTGGCTGCTGAGAATGAGAGATTAAGAGCTGCTAATGAGCGACAGAAAAAAAAGAAGCTATTAAAGAGACGACATATAAGTAAGGCAACTAGCTTAACTGTTGCTCAGGCCTCTCAGTTGATTCAACAGTCTCCTAGGACTGAAAATAGCGAGGTGGTAGCAGCAGTTAAGGAAGCTCAGGAATCACGTGAGGCGCCAAATGCAGCTGAAACATGGCAAATTACATGCTATATTTGTCGTAGATATGATCATCAAGCCTCAGAGTGTACAAAATATAGGATATTTTATTAAAATATTATTTTGTGGTTGCATTATATACATTCAAAGTTTTGATGGCTGGTGTGCTGCGCGACTTGGTGGTGTGCGCGACTTGGTGGTGAAATACGTTAACTGCTACAGTCCCACAGAGCATGTGACTCGCGGCCCCAGTGCAGCTGTCCCGTGCGCCAATTCCCTCTCTGTTCCTCACAAGAATGCCACTTCGCCCCGCTCCTCTCCTCACAGAAGAAGCTGGTTAAAGAATTGATATAATGGCAATGGAGAGAAGAATGGAAAGGCTCGCCAAAGGGCGAAAATCTCTGTAAAATTGACCCTTCCTTACCGGGAAAACATATACGCAAGCTCTATGACACGAAAACGCGCCCTCAAGCAAACCTACTAGCTCAACTATATACAGGCCACTTATGGCTAAAGAGCTATAGGAAGAGGTTTGGCAAAACCTAGGATGATAGCTGCGAATGTAGAGCGAGAGAGACACTGGCACATGTGTTTCTTGACTGTCCTACTCTATGAGGACTACGACAATGACTGCGGAGGCGGATAGGACCCTGTCTTAACAGCCTATCATCTTTTATATCAAAGGATATAGCAGATAGAGAGCTATATGCTATACTTGAATTTGCTGAAAAGTCTGGCAGGTTCCGCAATAGAGACCTTTAAAAATAAAGCTAGGTTACGTTTACACTATACATAGGGTGAGAGATGAGGTTACTACAAAGAGACAACTCTAAGCAGGAACAAAACTTCAGGAAATAGAACCGTAAAGAGGAATGTAAATAGATCATATGACTTGTATGTAGCCTGCATATCCTAACTAGGATGGGTCAGGGTAAATGAAAAATCAAATCAAATCAAATCATGCTGTACTAAGTTTCGTACAATAATCAAGACGTTGTATAAAGAAGAAAAAGATCAAATGTACCTTCACTTAAGAATATAAAGGAGGCTAATCCCACCTTTCCTAATCAGGATCTCAACGGGTGCACAGTGAGATCCGCTCAAAGGTCCGTGGTTCTCATAGGGGTCTAATTGGCCAATATTAGGATATATTGGCCGATGTCAGAGTATGTTGGCTAATGTTAGGGTATGTTAGCTGATATCGGTTTTGCAGGCAACAGGATAGTACCAGCCATATGTCAAGTGGTGACCCGTGACAGATGTAAACCTTGCCTTTTAGAATCAGTATAGGTAGTAAATGATAGCCACTGGCCCTGACTGCTTCTATCACTGTAGCCTATTCACAATTGATTAATTATTTCCTACTTCGTTTTAGCCACTCTATTGCCCTTGTTCCCCTGTCCCCTTAAGTTCATATCTTACTGACCTTCAAGACCTTCATCGGTGCGAGTGCGACTAAAACTTGATCTTCTCGCGCGAATAGCAATATTATATTCAGGTCCACTAGGTCCAGCTTTTATAGGGCTACTTGAAACAGGTACTGATATTTCCTCAGCCTTCTTAGATTCTTCTCTCATTCTTCTAGTAATTGACCTTGTTATTCTTCCTTGAGGTAGTTTTATGTCTTTTAACACTACCGCTGGTGACTGCATCGTCACTGGAGATGTTTTTGTTGACTTTCCCGTGAATAGTTCTATATGACTAGTATCCGCTTTAGTAAGATCTTCTCTCTTGGACTTTCTCCATGTTGCTCGGCCTGGCTCTGGTTCGCTGTTCTCAGCAGAACATGATCGGATTTCTGCTGACAAGTTTGGTTTCCCTTTAGCTTCTCGTGCCAGTGGGTTTGTCAAACAGTGCTCAGATGGCCCATTTTCTTTAGGAGGGCTTTCTGTTCTCCTTGACTTTGTTTTTGCCCATGTTGCTCTGGTCGAAACGCGTTCGGTAGGATCAGCTTGTTTATCTCCCGCTCCTTGCGGCTCATTTACGTCTCTCAGATTTTTCCCGGTCTCTCGCATTTGTGCCAATTCAAAAATACCGGATCTTGAACTTTTCTTTCGCTTCGTTACATCTTCTGTAGGCGTCGGGGTGTTCTCAAGATTTATCTCCTCATTAGGGTTAGAATTTGGGAGAGCAACGCTACTCCGCCTAGATCCAATGCTGTCGCCATTAGGTGGGTTTAAATATTGTTTTTTCATACTCGATCTTTGACCATATATCGAGCCATCGTTAACAATCTCCAATTCAGGCATGGATGACTCTTCTAGCTGTGTGATTTTCCCCGTCGTCTTGCTTGGCTTGGACTGGATATCCTTACTATCTATTTTTAAATTGGATGGATCCTTTAGCTGACTTGCTGTTTTAATACTGGATCTTAATACTCTCTTAGTGGAAGACGCAGTTTCAGATAGCACTGAAGTTTTTGGTGCATCAGGATGCGTCTCTCTGCGTACAACGAGATTGTCTTGAACTTTATCACTCTCGAGGGTGCTATCTATTGGGAATTTGGTATTGGGATACTGTGATTGTTCTTCTTTTTTCGTACTCGATCTTAAGAATCTCCTAAAAGTAAACTTAGTATGTTCTGTCTCAACAACAACTGGTGCTTTCGTCACACTAGGATGAGACTCTTTGGGTATAAGAGGTATAATCTGTACTGCATCACTCTCAAATGCGTTTATTGTACTTTTCGGCTTTGATGTGTTCGATTTTTGGAATTTCTTGGTTCGAGCTCTAGGTTTTTTTGCAGGCGCGGCATGATGACTTAATTCATCCACAGAGCCTGACGATCTGAGCTTCTTTTGAACTAAGTGATCCTGATGATAAAGAGAATTTCTCTTTCGAGTCTGGCCCGTGCTTAAAGCTGCCTTGTCATCGGCTGAAATATGCTTATGGGTATCGATTATGATCTCTTGCGGTGCATTTTTGTGTTCAATTTTTCCAGTTGACTCTAAACTTTTTTCATTCCATTCATTGATCCGAGCGCTGAACCGGGTTGCTTCTTCTGAAGACGTGTGTAGATTTTTACTGATTTGGACGGGGTAACTATCAGGGACGGCCCCAATCACTAGTTGTGTATCAGAATCCTGTGATTTTCCTCCCTTTTCCGTACAAGATCTTAATGATCTCCTAAAGGTAAAATTATAAGGTTCTGTGTCAGAAACTCCTAAATGTTTCAACACTACTGGCTGCGTCTCTTCAGGCATATTAACTGCATGACTCTCAAATGTGCTTCGTCCATTGCTTGACTTTGATCTCATTGTTCCTTGAAATTTCTCCGCTCTAGTTTTAGGTTTTCTTGCGGGGACAGATTGACGACTGAATTCGTCTCGTCTTAACCTCTTTTGGATTAAGTGATCCGGATTATTAAGCAAGTTTCTTTTTTGAGTCTGTTTTATATCTGAGACTGCTTCACCTTTGGTCACAGTATCTTCCTTAAATATAAAGGGTAGGCTTTCAGTATCATGCTGTTTAGCGTTTCCTTTATCGAGTCCTTTAACTTGTATGACAGGTAGGCTTTCAGTATTATCCTGTTTAGCTTTTCCTTTATCCTCTGCTGTGGTGTTAGAGCTTGGCTCTATGGGCTCCATTTTAGTGTTTAAGGTAATTCCACCCTTTTTAATACTAGACCTTGTTACTACGTTAGGCTTAGTACTAGTACTAGCTATAGGTAGCTGCTCTTCTAGCTTGGGTGGCTTCACTGCTGTCCTTGTGGTGGAATTTGCTCCCATAATATTATATTCTTGAGCTTCTTGTGACCATGCCTCTTCTGGTTCCTTACTTATGTCTGAGGCTGCTTCACCTTTGGTTGCAGTATCTTCCTTAAATATAAAGGGTA